TATTGCTTTTTTGAAAGGAATAGTTAATGTTTAATTGTGTGATCAAAAGTACATTTAATGTTTAAAATCCAATAACTACCTTGGTCACATATGACAGTTTAATCATGTCTTTGCTAGGAGAGAGAAATAACAATCTGCAGTTATTCTCATGAGGAATTCTCCAGGGAGTATGATGTCTTTGTAATTGTCTCCAGACTTCCTTATATAAGTGTCTGGGATCAAAATAGAACACAAAATGACACCCTTGTAGAAGGCACATGTTATATTTCATGAGCCATTGGGTACCATTTATCCATTTGAAAGAGTCATTTTCACTACATGAAGACTTTTTTCTGACCCAAGGATTTACTATGAGGGACAATGTTAGATCAGGAAAAATACTCAAAAATAAAAATTATGATTTTTAAATGATAAGTTCTTTGAGAAAGAGTCTATAGACCTCTTATCACTTGCAGATATATTGGTGTGAGTTATGTGAGAGAAGGAATCCTACCATATTTATTTTATATATAAGGAGAAGGTGAGTGATTCTTCCAATGGCACAAAAAGAATTCAGGATTGATTGAAACTGGATCCATGTTAATTTTCTCTATTTTTCCCTCTTGCTCTAGAATAGTGAGCACATTCTCTCCACCACTCAAGAGAGGGGTTCCTCTAAGAACAAGTCCTCCTCTATGAATTTTTTTTAGATTTCATAACTGCTATTTTACACTGACCTTTCTCTTTGAGCAAACTGGTAAGCTGTTACATTCTATAACCATTTTCATCATAAATGTAAGTTATGCAAAAGCAGTAGCTTAACTATAATTATGATAAGTTATTTAAAACTAAAGATGTCTTCAAAAAGAGTACTGGGCAAGGTGATCATGGGGTATAAATATCAAAATATGTATCGTAAACTGTCCCGTGATTTATGACAAATCTTTTTTTTTTTTTTTTTGCAGTACCGGGGATCAAACTCACGACCTTGCGCTTGCCAGGCAGGGGCTTAAGCCACTGAGCTATATCCCCAGCCAAATCATACTTCTTAACCTCCCAAAATGAACAAAACTAACAAAAATGATGCTTTAAATGATTAGTGACATCAGCTTTCTCACTACATTTTTCCAAACAGAGATAGGGACAATCACAACCCCAGAGTACTACAGCGACTCTTCTTTAAAATGCAAAATGGTTTAAATGACTTAACATAATCTGAACAAGGTCGCCTTAACTCTTG